TATATTTTGTGGGCGAAACATGGCAGCCAATTGTGTACAGCAGTGTCCCACAAACAGTCGTGGATTGAGTGACCAAATTATTATTATTTTTTTAAATCTGAAGGGATTACTACCCCTGGAAAACCAATCCGGCAATTAACTAACAACCAGGTTCCTGTTTACTTCTAGGTAAACAGAGGCTTGTGGAATAAGGAAATTGCCCAACGTTTTGCCTTGCCAGGGAATCAAAACCAGGTTCTCTCACTTGCGAGGTGAGTGCTCTAACCGCTAAGCTACAGGACTCCAAAGACACATTTACACACATATGTATTCTGTTTACGTAGAAGTAAGTAGGAGCCTAGTTGTTAGTCGACTGGTAGATTACTTTCCGAGGTTAATAATGCCTACCACCCCCGTACCCCAAGGAAATGTGGTCACACAATCCACGGTCGTTTGTGGGACACTGTTATGCGCAATTGGCTGCTGTGTTTCACACACACAAAATACACTTTACAATATATTATGTGAAGCACTTTGGGACGTCTCAACGATGTAATGAGGCGCTATAACAAATGCAATGATTATTATATGCAAACACACACAGACTTAAATACATACACTCACATACATGCACATACATACACAAATTCACATATGCACACTTAACATGCACACACATGCACACGCACTCACACACACACACACACACAACAACTGGAGCCAGACAATTTGGCTTCAGAACCATAGAGAAAACCCCTGAGAATATTTGTCTGCTTTCATTTCAACACAGGCCGTGGCATTTATATAGCTCAATAGAGTTTTATGCGTTGGGGTTAACGCTGGGGTTTTTGACCCAACTAAAATCAAACAGTGTGCCATTGAGAGCACTGTCTGGCAAGCTTTCCATTGCTTGTCCAGCTAAGACCATTCTACCCATTTGGGCTTTAGCTTACAGGGTTAACAAAAGCTGAGTGGGATGACTCCCTGCCCCCATAGACTAGTCAACAGTTGGTGCAGCAACAGCATGACACTGCAGTTATGAGAGGCACAATGCACTGGAAGCTACGACCTCAATTAACAGCACAGCACACAGCCAGTGGGGATCCCACAAGAGCAGTGAAGGGCATTTTCATGTCGGCCACTAACTAGAAAACACTAATTAGTTTTTGGATAACAGGAGAGTGAGCGAGCACTCGAGAGACAGCACAAAACGGGGAGCCACATGATCTTGATTAAAACGGCTAGATTTCATTCACTGAACCTTTGAATGGTGCGTGTCTACCCCTCGAACCGCCAGGAAGGCAGCGAGGAAATCGATCATATTTAATTTGGGTGACAAAATTTTCTTTTTTTTGGTCAGCTGGGTGTCTGACACATGCTGAAACCCAGCACCATGCTTAAGAGTATCCAAACCAAACTGAGATTTCCATGTATCCCACCTACACATGGAAATCCCAGGGATAGATTGTTGGAATGGAATGCACACTCTCTCCCTGGAGGGACAGATCCTGCTAACCTAATTCCGGAACGTATCAGGCACAATTTGGCAACAGCCAAGCCTTGGGGACCCCAGAGTGTGTATTGGTGTACTATTGGAGTCAAACAGCTAAAACCACAGAGCTTGCCATTGATATCGCTGTCTGGAATTCTCTTTTAAAAAGATGGAAAATATATAACAAAATAATCATAATAATAAATAATAATTATCCGTGCATTTGATTTGGAGCCTGTAGCTCAGTCGTTAGAGCACTCGGCTTGTAAGCGATCTGTGTTCGATCCCAGGCAGGGAGAAACTTTAGGCAAGTTTCCTATTCTACATGCCTCTGTTTACCTAGCAGTAAGTAGGATCCGGTTGTTAGTCGAATGGCGGATCGCTTTTCCAGGGGTAATAACTCCTTCAAAAAAAATTGTAGAACTGTGAGTATAAAATATTCGTCCTTCCCTTGGTAAGAGGCATCTCTTTGGAGCTAAGCTGGCTCTAAGGTGATGTAATTGACAAAGGAATAGTAGAATCGAACTAACCTTCTCTGGCAGACTTTTGCTAACCAGCGCCTAATATTCTCCAGAATCAGGTAATAATAATAATAATAATCCTTGCATTTGATATAGCGCTTTTCACGTCTCAAAGCGCTTCACAGAATACACTGTAAAGTGAATTGACTGTATATTTTGTGGGCGAAACGAGGTAAGCAGGGTGCGTCCCTCCAAGGAGAGAGTGTGTATTCCATTCTATGCCTGTATAGGTGGCATGCATATGTGAAACTCTTAGTCTGGTTTGGGTACTTTTACACCTACAATTGCTTTGAGATCTTTCGGCAGGATGAGTTTTCAAGGTCCATCTCAAGACCAACCTCTTTGACCACGCTTTTGGTCATCTTTCCCTTCCCCCATTTTCCTCTTTGCTCCCATCGTGAGTCCTGTAGTGTATTGGTTAAAGCACTCGCCTGGCAAAGCGAGATGACTCAAGTTCAACTGAGAGGCAGGGTGAAACCTTAGGCAAGTTTCCTTACTTCACACACCTGTTTACCTAGCAGTAAATAAGAACTCAATTGTTAGTCAATTGGCAGATCTCTTTCTGGTGTAATAAGCCCTTCAAAAAATAATAATCTGATCACTAAATCACGATTGTTTGTGGGACACCGCGGTGTGCAATTGGCTGCTGTGTTTCACCCACAAAGAATACAGTCAATTCACTTTACAGTATATTCTGTGAAGCGCTTTGAGAATTCTCAATGATGTGATAAGTTCCTTAATCAAATCCAAGGATTAATATCCCCAAAGCAGAATTGCTAAATCTTTGGGAAGTCCTCCTGACCTGAAAGAAGCAATATATTTGTAAATTTGTTTTGTGTTGCAAGATCTCAGGGTGGGTATTCTGAAAGGATGAGATCAAAGAGGCCTTTTCATTCAAACCCTATCTTGTGACCTTGTGAATATGTAAACAATCTGCTTTCTCTCCCACCCACCCCCATCGCCCTGTACAAAGGAGAGACAGCCGTGGCTTTAGGACGTTTGCTTACATGAAGCAATTACAACCATTTGAATATGTGTCCAATTCCTCCTTTTTTGTCACAGCCATGTCAGTTTGTGTGGCTGAGTTAGGGTGTGAGGGACAGCATGAGAAGGGGAGGGGAGGGTAAATTAGCACCTGCCTTTCCCAGTCTTTGGGAGGAGAAAGTCAACCAAGTTCCTGCTCTGGGTTCCTCGGTTTCTGGGTGATGTTAAACATTAAGCTGAGAGGTCAGGCTCTCTAGATGTCAGACACTGTCTATACTGCAGTCGGGCTGCTGACACTCACCGCAAAGCTCACACATGAACAATGACCACTTGGGTGGAGGTACCAGAGGGCATCCAGAACCTGGGGAACCGCACAAAATAATTGGACTGGCTAAGATTTTTTTTCTAAAAAGAAGAGTCAATTAAATTTTATTTTCACATTCACACGGTCAAACTCTCTCTCCTCCGAGGCTTGTGTTTAACAAGCTGGTTGCTTGGCAGGAAATACTATAAACCAACCATGTCAACAGTCCTCAACAATCAGAATCTCACATTCCAAACGAATGCAATACCACTATGATTGAAGCGAGACCTAACTAAACCACTGGACTATCTGCAATGGCAGCGTATCTCTCTCTCTTGCTGCCTTTTTCCCATATTTGGACAAAGAGGAGAACTCAGGCCAACCAATTGCTTCCCGCACCAGAACAAAGATAGACCCAACCAGGAAACCACCAGTTAATCCAAAACATTTAATTTGCTCTTTGAAATGATGCCCGGAACCGTCACGGTGACTGAACGCACTTTATTTAAGAAAAAACGAAAGCGCATTTCTTCAGGTAGCACTCTTCAAAGTTTCAAAAATGTTTCCACAATTCCGGGCGACGTTAAACATTGAACCAAGGTCCCATTTGTGCCCTGTCCGTGTGGACATTAAACATCCCATAATACCATTTAAAAAGAAAAGAGAGTTTTACTCGGTGTCCGGGCCAACAACCCCATAATAAAATTAGTCATTCACTTTATGGCTGTTTGTGGGACGTTCCTGTGTGCAAATTGGCTGCCGTGTCCACAGTTACTGCACTTTACAGTAAATCCTGTGAAGCGCTTTAGACATTTCAATGACCTGATGTGATGCTGTTTCAAACAAAAGGATTATTATTCTTAAATTTTAAGACAAATTTTAAGACGTTAACACTGAGTGGATCTCAAGCCTTTTGGGGTTTGATCAGATTGTACAAAGAATGTACAACATTGAAAGAGGCCACTTGGCCCAACCAGTCCACTCCACGCAAGTCTACAATACCATTTGTGTTATACCATTTGCAAATATAGGGCACTCTTCTGAGTGTGTGTGTGCCTGTGTGTTTGTATTTGCATATTATCTGCTGCATGTCCCGTTAGTACTATCATTTGGGACTTTGGCTCGTAGGGCTAACAAGTGTTGTGTTGGAGGATTCCCAGCCCCCAGTGACTGGTCTGCCCTTCCAGGTCCTGCCGATGAGCCAGACTGGCTGTGCTGTCATCAGTAATGCCCCAGAATACTGCAGAACTGCCTGGCTCAGGAACCGGAGTAGAGACCATTACAGAGGGCTGGCGGAATTCTGACATTCCATTGCCAAACATTGCCAAACTCCATGGCTGTTTGTGGGATATTGCTGTGCAGAACTGGCTGCCGCGTCTTGCCCACAAAATGCAGTCACTCCACTCTACAGTATATCTTGTGAAGCGCTTTGAGATGACGTGATAAGACGCAATATCAAATGCAAGGATTATTATTATCATTATTCTCCCAGCCCCTCCAACTCACGCCTCATATGCCTCCTTCAAGATCTGTCTGAAGACCTTCCTTTTTGACCACGCCTTCGGTCATCTTCCCTCCTCCACTCCCTTGCCCACCACTCCTCCCAGCTTCCTGGCCAACAACACCACCGGTGGAGCATAGGGGTCAAGGGGTGCGCAGAAGGTCTGAGCTGGCTAGAGTGACAGGGACGAGCGGAGGAGAACGAGCGGTGTTTACTTACTGACTTTGAGGTAGCATTGCTGAAAGGCTGGGGGGCAGGTGGTTTGGTTGTAATGAAGCCCTGTGCCCCAGGGACAGTAAATCTCTGGCCTGTGTCTGGAGGGGACGAGTAGGAGCGGGATCGAGCGTCCAGCCTCTCTGGCTCCTGTTTGTACGACTCCAGCGGGAAGCTCGGCTTGGTCGCTTGCACCGGTGTCGGGGGAGTCGAATGTCCGCTGGCTGAGAAAAGGAACAGAATTAATAATAATGATAATAATCCTTGTATTTGATAATAGCAGCTTATATTTCATTGAGACTTCTCAAAGCACTTCACAGAATATACTGTAAAAATTTACTGTATATTTTGTGGGCAAAACGCACCCTATTTACTGCTAGGTAAACAGAGGCATGCGGAGTAAGGAAACTAAAGTTTTGCCCTGCCTGGGAATCGATTTTACGCTGAAGTTGTTTATTCCCGGCCAGCCCGATACACTAATACACAGTGCAAAGAAAGATAATAATAATAATCATCCTTGCATTTGATATAGTGTCTTATCATGTCACTGAGACATCTCAAAGCGCTTCACAGAATATATTGTAAAGTTGATTGACGGAATTTTGTGCTTCTTAAATTAAAACGTTTTTTTAAAAATTGGTAAAGATAATAATAATACTTGCATTTGATACAGCGCCTTATCACAGAATATACTGTGAAGTGAATTGATTGTATATTTTGTGGACAAAGATGTTCGTGAAGCAGAAAATGACCTTCTTTACAGAAAGCCCTTAACAGAGACCAATATAATAATAGCAAGTTCTTTAATTTGGCACGCTGCCTTTCATGTCAGGAGAATTTCTCAAAGCGCTTCACAGTGAACCCGGCAGTTGATTTGCACACAACGTCCAACAAACAGCAGGAAGTGAACAACCAATTTTTTTTCTCTGGGGGAATTTTCGGTCAGGACACCAGGGAGGAACTTCCTTCTCTTTTCAACAACAACAACGACTTGCATATAGCGCCCTTCACACAGGTTAGCATCCCAGAGTGCTTTGAGTAGTGCTGTGGGATCTTTAATGCCCACTTGAACAGGCACAGACAGGACCTCGGTTTAATGTCTGATCCAAATTACAGCACCTCCGACAATTCAGCACACCCCCAGCACTGCACTGGAGCATCAGTTTAGGTTTAGGTGAGGCTTGAACTCACTATGTGAGCTAAACACTCCAGGTACAATCAAAGCAGGACTTGTTGCCACTCACAGCAGGCATCTGATGAAGTCAGAGACATTCACAAAAAAGCCTTCAAATATCTCCATGCGTGTCAGATAGCCTTTGGGTTGTCAGCGAATCTCAATTTGTTTATCACCGGTAAACACCGGTGCTCCCAAACTTCCAACGTGGGTGCCCAGCCAGCAGTGACAAGCGCTTTGAGACGTCCTGATGTAAAAGGTGTTGAATAAATGTAAATTGCATTGTATTGCCTACGTGGATCCCAATAAACACCAATTATAATAATAATCCTTGCATTTGATATTACACCTTATCATGTCATTGAAACGCTTCAAGGAATATATTGTAAAGTGAATTGACCGTAAATATTGTGGGTGAAATGCAACAGCCAATTGCGAACAGCAGTGTCCCCAAATAGTGGATTGAGTAACCAATTTTTTTTGAGGGATTATTACCCCGGAAAGCAATCCACTAATCAACTAACAACCGGGTTCCTACTTACTGTTTGGTAAACAATGGCGTGTGGAGTAAGGAAATTTGCCTAAGGTTTCGCCCGGGAATCGAACCCAGGTCCTGTCGCTTTTGAGGCAGCACACTAACCACTATGCTACAGGACTCCAATTAGAGCACAAAGTGCAAATCCTTTTAATCACGGACAAAAGACTCTCTTTGGGAAGTCATGTTTAGCTTTCTGATCCAAGGCTTACTCTTCAATCAAACCACAGGCAGCCCAACAAGCTGCTTGCCCTGGGAGCCCAGAGCTGAACTGGCTTTGACAGACTCAGTGGGCAGGATTGTATAGTTCAATGAGAGGTGAGTTTGACTGTAAACTAAATATTGTTCTATCAAACAGTGTGCGTCGGAAGTCTTTTTGACACACGTCACTTCTTGTTTGCATTTCCCTTGCAGAGAGTCAACAGTTCAGGAGTATTTCAAGTCTGCATTGCAGCCCGTGGCATTTTTGTAGCAAATATACAAATGTAGATTGACTGCAAAATGCATTTGCCGCAGTCCCAAGCCTCCAAAATAATAATAACCATAATTATAATTTGATATAGAAGTTTATCACATAGTCAAAATATCTCAAATTGCTTCACGGAGTTTCACTATGAAGTGCAATGTGTATTTGCAGGCAAACTCAGCAGCCAATTTGCACACAGCAATGCCATATAAACAGCTGTGAGATAAATGACTATTTTTCTCTAGGAGATTGTTGGACAGTATATCAGGAAAATTCGCTTCTCTTTTTCAAACTGGGCCATGGGATATTTAACATCCACCTGAACAGGTTTAATGTCTCATCTGGAAGACGGCTGCCCCCAACAATGCAGCACACCACCAGCACTGCATTACAGTGTCACGTTAGACCAGGAAGGTCCAACTGGCGGTCCGCGGAATGATTTCATCTGCCCACCCACTCCCTCCATTTCATCTGCCCACCCGCTCCATCCATATTTCATAAACGTTATGTTATGATTATGGAAGGGAAACACAAAAATATTGCTTATAAGGCTCGCGGACGTTTCTCAAATAGGGCATTCGGCCCTCAGCAGGCAAAAGGTTCCTGCTAGCCGATATGAGTTCCAAGTCCATAGGTGGAGCCACCTACAATTTTCTGATTCAAAGGCAAGTGCTACCAACTGAGCCAGGATGACCCACCGGATCAATGCCGTGCTGTGGATGAGCTGTATTGTTGAAGATGCCCTCTCTCGGATGAGACATTAAAAATTAAACCGATGCCCAGTTTGTGCCTGTTCAGGTGGACTTTAAAGATTCCATAGTAGGGGATATCAAGGGATATGGGGCAAGGATGGGTAATTGTAGTTGAGGTACAGATCAGCCATGATCTTATAGAATGGCGGAACAGAGTTGAGGGTTAAATGGCCTACTCCTGTTCTTATGTGTCTATGTGCCCTGTTTCTGTGCTGAAATGGATCCATTCGCAGGGGACCAACTAGTTCCGGGAGGAAGTTTGCAATGGGTTTAAAATCAAATTGCTGTACCACATAAATGGCTTTTACAAATGGCTGGCATGGGATACAGGTGGACAAAATTGAATTGCTTCATCCGATTACACCCTAACGATCCCAGGAAATGTTTTTATTGGCTTCTACTTGTTGTAAAGGCTCCAGGACTTGTCCTACCACAAAGACAGATTTCCTTAAAATGGTGTGCGTTCACAACTTGTAAAGGTTCGATGCAATTTGGATCTTTTTTGTTTGCTCGGATGTGACAATTATTTCAAAATATCTCTCACGCAGAGTTTCCAATAAATTTCACAAGCCAGTCAGGGCCGCTCCTGCTGACCAAGGAAATCTTCCTCACTGTGCAATACATTACAATTTACATTCATATTGTTTGACTGTCTTGTTTGACCATCAACTGTTCTTTTTACCTCACATCTGTGCCATGACCCACTCTGCCTTCCTTCACCTCCACAATATCACCGGGCTCCGCCACTGCCTCACTTCTCAGGCTGCTGAGACCCTCATCCACGCTTTCATCACATCTAGGCTCGACTACGCCAACTCCCTGCTTGTCGGCCTTCCTAACTCTTTCCTCCACAAACTGCAGATCATCCAGAACTCTGCAGCTTGTGTCCTCTCCCGCACCCGGCTCCATGACCCCATCACCCCCACCCCACCCGGCTTCACTGGTTCCCGATCTCCCAGAGGATAGAGTTCAAAATCTTTGGCCTTGACTTCAAGGCCCTTCACGGCCTTGCCCTTTCCTACAACTGTGATCTCCTGACCCCATATCAACCCGTCCTCTCCCTTCGCTCAGCGGCAAGAGTGCTACCACTGATCCAGGTTGACATATAAATGACACACATGACTGAAAAAATGTACGAAGAGATAGGTCCTAAGGTAGACTTTATAACTCAGGTGGGAGGCAGGGAGGGAGGCAAAGGGATTCTGGGAAATAATTCCAAAGATTCCCTTGTTGAGGTTGAGCTGTTCCAGGGAGCCAGTTAGCAGAATAAAAAGAGCTTTCCCTGGGGACATTGAACCTTGTTAATGCTTCTAAACCCTAACTAATAAGGAGCCTTCAATGCAGTGCTTTTTCCCAGCCGAATAACACTGAATAATGGTTCCCTTCATTTAAATGTTTCCCTGTATTTGATAAGGAAGATTCTTGTGTATGGAAAAAAATACAAAAATGTTTATTCACGTACACAATTTTGGAGTCCACATTTACTAGAGCTGAAACACGCACTCTCCTGGAGGGACGCACCAGCTTACCTACACGTGTTAGGTACAGCTTGAAATAGTGTTTGATGAGTGTTCACACCTGAAAGCAGTTGGTCATTGAACAAAACCAACAACAGCTTGCATTTATATAGCTTCTTTCACGTCGGGAGGATGATTATTGGCATTGAAGACTGTTTTGTAATTCAGTTTATTGGGATGTGTTAATTATCAGGGAGTCCAATCATGGAGTTCTGTAGTGTAGTGGTTAGTGCGCCCGCCTCGCAAGCAAGAGCACCTGGGTTTGATTCCCAGACAGGTGTAACCTTAGACAAGTTTCCTTGCTCCACATTCCTGTTTACCTAGCAGTAAGTAGGAACCCAATTGTTGCCGGATAACTTAAAAAATATTTTGGTCACTCAATCCATTACTGTGCACAATTGTTTGCCACGTTTTGCCCGCAAAATACAGTCAATTCACTTTACAGTATATTCTGTGAAGAGTTTTGAGATGTCTCATCGACGTGATAAAGTCCTACAAATGCAAGGATTAATATTTTATTATTGTCATATGGCATTCTTTCATTGCAGAACTTTGAAACTAATGCTCTTTTAAACAAATCTACATGTTCTGCTCCACATTCCTTCATCTTCTTCAATTCATCTACCCTTTAATTATTTTTACAATCATCTTACACTTGTCTCCTCCCATTACCATCAGCGGAAATAATAACATAATAATCCTTGCATTTAATATAGCGCTTTTCACGGATTCTAGACGTCTCAAAGATCTTCACAGAATATACTGTAAAGTGAATTGACT